CAGCAGCACAACGAGGCCATCAACGTGTGGACCCACCTGGAGACAGCCCTGATCCTGCTGCTGCGCTTCCAGCAGCTCTCGCAGCGCGTGGATTTCGCGCAGGACCCTCACGCGCAGCCCCTGCTCATCATCATCGCCGCGTCCATCACGTACCTGACGTTCAGCACCCTGGCTCACCTGCTGCAGGCCAAGTCGGAGTTCTGGCACTACAGCTTCTTCTTCATGGACTACGTGGGGGTTGCCATCTACCAGTACGGCAGCGCCCTCGTGCACTACTACTACACCATCGAGCCCAGCTGGCACGAGCGCGTCCGCCCGTTCTACGTGCCCGCGGCCGTGCTGCTGGCCTGGCTGTCCTGCGCCGGCTCCTGCTACGCCAAATACCGCTACCACGAGGCCACGCAGCTGCTGGGCCGCCTGTGCCAGGAGGCGCCCTCGGGCCTGGCCTACGCGCTCGACATCAGCCCCGTCATCCACCGCATCTACAGCACCCGCTCGGCCGCGCGCGACGACCCGGCCCTCCTGTATCACAAGTGCCAGGTGCTGTTTTTCCTCATCGGCGCCTTTTTCTTCTCGCACCCTTACCCGGAGAAGTGGTTCCCGGGGAAATGTCACTTTTTTGGGCAAGGCCACCAGATTTTCCACGTGTTCCTGGTCCTCTGCACGCTGGCGCAGATTGAGGCCGTGGTGCTGGATTATGAGTCCAGGCGGCAAATCTACTCCGAGCTCCACGGGGACTCAGCTCACAACTTTTCTGCCCTCTGCCTTTTCACCGTAACCTGCTCCGTTCTCACAGCCGCTTACATGGCCAGGAAGGTGAAGCACAAGCTGAGCTTCAAAGAGGAGTAACAGCCGCGAAGGAGACGCGTTCGGGCTCACCTGGGTGCTCAGTGCAGAGGCAGCTGCAGCGATGCCATCGGATGCGCCCCAGACGTCGAGGAGAGCAGTGAGACGCTTGGGCAAACGGCTCCTACTCGGTGCTCTCTGCAGGGGTGACGCTTTGAGCTGCTGTTCACGCTTCTTAAGCTGCAGTAGTTTCATCTCGTTCTTAAAATGGTACGCTGATTTAATTCAAATGTCTGAATAAACCACTGGAACAAAATGCTCTTTCCTAGCAATGCAACCCTAAGCCTTAACTGAGCTGGGAAGGTTTCTTGGATGCTGCCAGGTCTCGTGGCAAAATGTAAGGTGATCTGATTCTAGACCCAATTAGTGGTGGCAGAACCTAAGTCAGAAAAACTTAAGGGATGGAGAAATAAGGCCAAGGAAGGACTTGGTGGAGACTGTGTCCCAGGGAAATTGTAAGAACCCCTGCAGGTCTCCCCTTACCTGTGGGTAAGGGTGTGAGGAACAGCTGGGGCCCTTGGCTGCTCCCAACCACCCACAGCTGCTGCTCATGAGGACCAGGTGAAATGGGCTGGGGCTGCAGGGGGGACAGAGCCCACAGGTAACTGTGTATGCAGGGGTGGGGGGCGCTCCCATTTTTGACCCTCACAGGAGCCCCAGCCTCCCTGTCCCGCCAAGGAGCCCTGCGGCAGTCGCCGCCACCTCTTCCGGCCCCGGCTGGCAGCAGCCGCGCCGGCAGCGGCGCTGTTGACGCCC